TGTGCATGTTGTTTGACGTTCCTAACAGAACCCAACAGGTGGGATGTGTAAGGTCACCTCTGGGAAAGGTGAAGATGGTTCGCTTCCTGGTCGTGCATGCTAGCTCGGCGTACAACATCATATTGGGACGACCGAGCTTGAATTCATTTCAGGCTGTTGTGTCGACTTATTGCATGAAGGTCAAGTTCCCCGTAGTGAATGGGGCTGGAGAGATGATAGGAGACCAGCTGCAATCTCGACAGTGTTATGAAGTCACACTGAAGACAGCCGAGGCCCATAACAAGAAAAGGAATGATGACCTACCAGAGTGTTCCCATCGAGACAAGAAACAAGAGTTGGGGAAGAGCTCCCGAGATGAGCTAATGGAAGCTGATTGATATAGGGGCAGTTGTTTCCACGACCGTGGAACATATCGCATTTGAATAAATATTATGCGTCGTTGGAGACATGCTATCTTTAATTGTTTTCGTTTGTTATTTGTTATGTTTCGGAGAGACAAGTAATAAAATTGCATTTGAAGTATTTTCAACTTAACTCTTTTCATGTGTGATGTGTGTGCAGGGCGCAAGCCTGTCAGTTTCGCTTAAACTCCCGGAGCTAGGCGACGACCTCCATACGCAAGCCTGTCAGTCTCGCCTAAGCTCGCGGAGCTAGGCGACGACCTCCATAGGGCGCAAGCCTGTCAGTCTCGCCTAAGCTCGTGGAGCTAGGCAACGACCTCCATAGGGCGCAAGCCTGTCAGTCTCGCCTATGCTCGCGGAGCTAGGCGACGACCTCCATAGGGCGCAAGCCTGTCAGTCTCGCCTATGCTCGCAGAGCTAGGCGACAACCTTCATAGGGCGCAAGCCTATCAGTCTCGCCTAAGCTCGCGACGACCTCCATAGGGCGCAAGTCTGTCAGTCTCGCCTAAGCTCGCGGAGCTAGGCGACGACCTCCATAGGGCGCAAGACTATCAGTCTCGCCTAAGCTCGCGGAGCTAGGCGACAACCTCAATAGCACGCAAGCCTGTTAGTCTCGCCTAAGCTTGCGGATCTAGGCGACAACCTCTTTAGGGAGAAAGCCTGGTAGTCTCGCCTAAGCTCGCGAAGCTAGGCGGCGATCTCTTTAGGGCGAAAGCATGTTAATCTCGCCTAAGCTCGTGGAGCTAGGCGACGACTTCTATGGTTGACGAGGTCATCGTGTACAATTGGGAATGTGAGTCTTGAAAGACTTATCAATAGTTGTGCTAGGTGCAAAAGCCCATGGTCACAATGCTAATGGTTTTCAGGACTCGGTGAATGAAACTTATCATGAACGAAGAGGCGTGGTTACTTGTATAGCAATAAGTTATATAAGTACGAGTAATTGAAATGTGAAAGCGCACAATGAAAGCAAAACGTTGAACGTGTTCACGATTACATGCCCGAATAGAAAAGTTCACGCGAGGTTGAATA